GCCAACAGCTTAGCACAGCCGTTCTGGAAACTCTTGGAGCCCAGCATGATGATGAGCTGAAAAGGTCTAAAGAGCGACGGTTTAAGCGAGTGTATAAAACGAAAGACGGTTGAAAGACTGTATTAATTGATGCAATGAGATGGGTGATGAGAACGACTTCAGAGTCTCTGTCCTACATATATGCTAAACAGAGTAGGGATACCAGTGTAAGCTAACACTGACAAGAGTCATGCAACACTGGAATCTCCCACCATCAACCGTCAAGGCTGGAATCAGGATGAAATTGCAGTACACGAGTTCCATAGAAAGGATCGCGAAAAAGCGGGTTCGTTGTTCATTCTTGGCATGATCTGTCTGTGCGGGATGGGACTCGCAAGGCGGGACGAAGTTGAGATCGTCAGCCGAGACACGAAAACTCCGAAAATCCTGGCCTTTCCGTCTTACCCGTCTAGCCCGTCAGCTTGTCCGCGGATAATGATAGACGAGAAGTTCGAAAGACGATGCAGAGTAGTTAATTAGGATTCCAACTTTATTGCTAAGTTCACTGCTGATCAATCCTAAAACTGGATCAAAGTTGCATTTGCTTATTGTATATCATGGGTCTCTATTGAGAAAACAATATTTTGTTAGCTCAAGGTATCACTCGGCGCTTATGGATGTTCATCATAATCTCATGGACTTACATAGCCTCGAATATTCGCGATGCCGAACGCTTTGCCACGAAAGGGATGGTTAGATTGCGATCCATAGATAAGCGTGAAGGATTCGCTTGGTGTGACAGTCAGCCACCATAGCAAGGCTGAGGATGTCACGGCCCCGAAGGATCAAGCGTTGCAACATGTTTGGCCCAGTAGGGCGCTCAGCTATGGAGATCTTGGGCGAATGGAGCATATGTTGGTCAAAGGGTCCAACTTTCGATGTGCCTCTACCCACTTGTTCGGTTTGACTGTTATCTTATAGGCCAGTTCTGAAGACGTGGGTCGAACGGATGTAGCGGCAATTGATGGGATTACGCGTAACAGCATCTTTAAGATTAAGCATGCCTCTTGACTATCGTTTTGGTTATGGTGGAAGTCGACGATGAACAGACCTGAGACTGAGACGATGGTTTTTAGGTGGAATACTGATTTAACCTAGTGATTTACATTAAGATATTGCTTCAACAAGTAATTAACACTCAAGCTTTGACACAATCTGAGGCCGAAGAAGTAATGAACGACTTTTTCGCCCACTGCGACAGTGACAAACGTAAATGGAAATGCCCGAACCATGGCGAGGCCACAAAAAACGATTCATGTCGAGCAGAAGAAAGAGATTGAAACTGGAGATTCATCAATCATGCGCATCCTTCAGTGGCCTTTGCAAGGCTGTCCAACGTCATCAATGCAACCTTACAAGTTCAGCTCCGCATCGAAAAGGAAGCGATCCACAGGGGTAAGCGAGGATCCAAAAAACTTTTATCAGACGGAAAAAGGAACCCGACGAGATGTGGCTTGGAACGGCACGGGCCGATCTCATAACATGGCGATAAACCTACAATGTAACTAGGATTCAATCCTTCTGAACCGTTTCAGTTGCATGTCCACTCTGCGGGACTAGGAAGATTAGGCTGGCCATAGCGCCTTGTCATCATGGATAAGCCTCAGGGGGCAAGAAAACACCGGACCTTATTATAAGATGTCAAAATAAACTTGTCAAAAGTCCCCTAAGTTTAGGCTAGATTTACCTAAGTATTTTTATCATTTAGGGTTAAGGTCCTAAGTTTTATTTCCTCCCCTAGATAAACTATGGACTTGAAACTTTAGCTGAGATGTAAGCCTGAGTTAGTATCTGGGTTATATACCTATCTGTTGTGTCCGAATTCTTTCGCGTAGGCCTAGCCCAACATACTCATACTGAGTTTTTTCATTCGTTCTACACCAACTAAATCACTCTTTTGCTTTTGAGGCCTAGACAATCACTCGTTATGCGTCTGGTCGGTCTTGTTGTGGCACTCGCCGCTTTGGTAGAGGCTCAACTCCCCGAGACTCCTGGAGCCAATGGTGAACCCACCACCACGACTCTTCACCCTCTTCCTTTTGAGACTACTTCGTCTCGGATTCTTGTGTTTGATGAGACGACTTCTTCAGATGTTGCGCTTCCAGAGACCAGCACAGGTGTTCCGATTCCTAACACTGCATTTACTTCAACCGAAATCTTGTCTGAGCTGCCTGAGTCCAAGAGTACTGACATTGCGGCTGGAGATACTTCTACTGCCAATAGCGAGTCGCCTCTTGACTCGACATCTTCAATCGCGATCCCTGTTGAACAGCACACTACTGAGACGGGACAGCCCACTGGTCCCGAGACTACAGCCCAGCAGCCTCCAGCTTTCGACACTACAACGTCACAAGGGCCTCCCGTAGCAGAGACAACTACTCAGCAACCTCTTGCCCTTGATACTGTCACAACTGATCAGACACCTGGTATCGAGACTACTAGCCAACAACCTCCTGCACCTCAGTCAACTACTGAGCAAGGCCCTGCTGTTGACACAACCACCCAGCAGCCTCCTGCTCAGGACTCAACAACTGAGCAGCTGATACCTCAGGATACCACTTCCCAACCATTTATCGGGGAAGAGACCACCACTACCCAGCCTCCCGTTATCGTCACCACTTCATCAGAACAGCCTGTTGATGAGGTGCCATCCACGACTGAGAAGCCTGAGGACCCCAACCCTACTACTACTAAGCAGGAGGAAGCTAAGCCTACTAGTAAAGACGAAGAGTCTGATCCTAAGTCCGAAGACTCAGGTAATGAGGACCCCAAGACTAAGGATGAAACTGATCCTCAGCCCACCACCAAGCAAGACGAGGCCCCAGTCACAGTTCCTCCTGCTGCTGTCACTGCTGAGCCCCAAGAGACTATCTCCGGTGTTACTGACAACACCCTGCACAGCACCAAGGACAGTGATGGCAATGATGTTGTTGTCCCTGTTCTTTTTGGTCCCTCCTGTCTGATCTTTTGTGAGCATGCTGGTAAAGACAATGGTCCTGGTGGTATTGTTCTTTGGGGCATTGGTAAGTCCACTGAATTCTTCCGCCTAACGTTTGTACTGACGGGAGATTTAGGACCTGCACCAGGAAGCTACGTCCTTCCCCCTCTCCCTGGCATCACTCCTGCTCCATCAGCCGTAGTCATCAATGGAGGTGTACCGACACCAGTTGGAACTCAGACACCCGAGGATCCTGATGACCAGGACGATGATGATGACGACGACAAGAGTACTGCTGAGGAAGAGACCAACACTGAAGCTAAGACTACCGAGGCTAAGTCCACAGTTGAGTCTTCCGCAGCTTCCACTACGGAGGCTAGCACCACTGAGCTGCCTCAGCTATCGATGGGCGTTGAGACAGTCGTAGTGAACGTTGATGCTACTCCTACCACCGGCACTACCTCCAGTGAAGCTACGACGGAAGCCACCAGCACTGAAGCATCTACCCAGACTACTGAGCTTCCCCAATTGTCTATGGGCGTGGACACGGTAGTTGTAAACGTTGATGCAACTCCAACAACTGGAGGAACGACTGAGACTTCTGCTGCTACATCTACAGAGACCACTGAGGCTACTACTCAGACGACAGAGCTTCCTCAGCTGAGCATGGGAGTCGACACAGTCGTTGTCGATGTTGATGCTACTCCTACCACAGGAGGCACCACTGAGACCTCCCCTGAGACCTCCACTGAGTCTGCCACTACCGAAGAGTCGAGCGACGAGGTTTCCGAGACCACGAAGACTCAGGATACCACTACCGCCGAGATGACTTCAACAGAGGCCACAACTGCTGAGTCTACGACGGCAGGACCTACATCTACTGTGACCTCTGTGCAGTCTACTACTTTTGCTACTTCCACCACTACTAAGGAGCCTGAACGCGAGTATCCTTGCATCATTCATGCCAATCCGGGCATTGATCCTTACTGCGCCTGTGAGACTACAGTCAGTGGCAAGGGCTTCTATGTTTCCACTGATTTGATCTCGTCGTCTTGCGCCGACTACACGACCTTCCCCTCCTCCATCCCTACTAATGCTTTTGAGCCCAAGGTGACTGAGAAGCCCGATCCTGAGCCTTACGTCAAGACCGACGATGGCACTGTGGTTTCTTATCCCGACCGCACAGTCAAGGTTGGAAACTACCCTGGTGGAAAGTATACTTACACTCAAGGTGTCGGAGACGCTGTCACTCTCGAGACTCCTTTGCCGACGCAGACTGATGCGAACAACAAGGGCTCCAGCCAGTGCGGCAGCATCGATGATGCATGCGACCGTGCTTTGAACGATGGTTTTGATGATGAGACAACATACAAAGACTATGTCTCGCGCTATGCTAGGATCAAGAGCGGTATGATCATGCTCGCGTCGTTTGGCCAGGCTGGTTGCACGGCGCAGTTCAAGTGTGATGACTATGGTCTCGGAATGAAGGGCAAGGATATCAAGGATGCGTAAGTGAACCCCTACATGGTCGATGACGAGTTTATGCTAACTATTTCACAGTGTCCAGCACATGAAGGATAATGATGGAGTGAGCAAATGTGGAACAGCATACCTATCCAACACGTGTCAGATCACATTGAACTACTGTACCAATTGTCACCATGACGGTTGATCAGCTGTAATTCTGCAGTTTTTATACAGATTTGTTGCTGTGCTAGACAATTCACGAAAGTGACGCGTTAACGTGTTCACTGGTGCTGAACCCAATTCAATGCTATTCCAGCGCGCGTATGGCTCATTTTCACGTGATAAGGGCAGTGACAATACACCAATGAGTAACTGGTTTCTGGCTGCCGAATACGCAGTGGCTTATGTAGGGATAGGGATGGGCTTTCTTTTTTCCAGTTCCAGTCGGGTAAAGTAGAACGAACCCCCGTCATTGTGAGACCTAACTAGAATCCCAACTTCTCGATACATCAATTGCACAATAATCACAGCCTGCGTCTTCATTCTTTGTGTTACAATGCGTTCCGACTATGATGTCAGTAACCTCATGTACGGTGCCCAGGAGGCGGCCGAACTCGACTCTTATCAAGGCGAGCCTAAACCCCGCCTGAAACCCCTGCTTCTAGATACTGTCATGCAAGGTCGGCCTCCTGTGTCCAGCTGCCGGTTGCTTCAGATGCCCAACGAGATCTTGGCCAAGATCGTCAGCTTTGTCGCTGAAGACGAGGAAGCCTTGCAAGAGCTTGCCCGCGTCAATTCTGACTGCTGCGGGCTTTCTCGTGCCTGCCAATTCTCCGAGTTCGAATTCGACTACAGTCCCAATAAGATCAGGCTTCTACTCAATCTTGCCCAGGGGATGCTTGGGGGCTGCAGTGTCCCCGGTATTCCAGACTGTGTACGGAAATTCACCTTCAAACCTGACGCATACCAGGTTCGCGATATTCACCCTAGCGTTTGGCGCAGGTTCCAACAAGATCCCGGTGAAGAGTACGGAGGAACTGCTGAAATCAAGGAACAAGGCGCAAGGCTCCTCAAACATATCCAACATTCCGTGGCACTCAATTTCAAGGCCATGCGCAACCTCGAGACACTTGTTTGGGATTGCAATTTCCCAGTTGATAAAGACACCTTTTTGCTCTTGGCCTCCTCCACAGCCCATAACCTTCTCATCAACGACACCCTTCTCGCTGAGAGTTTTTCTCTGGAGCCTCTCTGACCCCACCGTCCTGGCCTTTGCGATCTCCCGTTCTGATGAATGTGAGGTTGGTAGGCTCTTGGGACCAAGAGAATAGTCAGCGTGTCGTACCACGGTGACCTAACCCCACCAATGGCTTCTTCAAAAGTCTTTTTCAGCTTTGCTCCCCAACTCTCGAATTACTGACCTGGGAGAGTTGGCATCCCGAGGCTTGGGAGCCTCTCTCTCTTGGGACCGACTCGAATTCCTTTCCCAGACCGCGAAAGCTCCGAATCAGGCCTGGTCTCGATGTAATGGATAAACCAAGCTTTGCTTCTTTCCTTTCTGCGCCACTCAAGTCCCTTGAACTGCGTCACTCGTCTTTTCGGTTATTTGAGGATGTCATTCGTTCCCATATCGAAGAGCCATATCGGGATCTTGAGGAGCTTGTTGTTGAATTTGATGATCATCAGCAGCTTATCACAGAATTAATCCTCAAGCATAATAACTTGAAGAAGCTTTGGGTTACTCAAACTTACTACATGTCGGGTCGTGATAATTCTTTCGATCGAGTCATGATCCCTGGCCTTGGAAAGGGTCTATTTAATAACCTCCGCTCCTTGTATATTCAATGGGGAGGTCAAAACCAGGATGCCGGCCTCGAAGCCGACCATTTTGACATCATGCCGGAGTCTTTAGCGGCTATCTGCGAGATTACGACCCTAGAGCAGTTGGGCCTACGCTGTGCTAAGATGGTCCGATGGGGAGAATACACAGAGGACACCTTTCCGATCTGGCTCATCGACCATGGAAAACTGCAATCTCACCTACAAAATCTCAAGAACCTCAAGTTGTTAGTCATAAGAGGAGATACCTATCCCCCAAGGGTCAACGAAGTTTTCGGACATCGTTGGTACTACAGATCGAACTGCGCGAACCAAGAAGATTTGCAGACCGCGAAGGATCACCCAGAGCTCGCTCCTTTCGTGCAGGGCGATAACGAACAAACTTTAGCTTGGAAACATGCACATCTGTATCGCATGCTTGAGTATGCAAGGGGTTACCGAAAAGTGTTGCCAAAGCTTGAATGGATGCTTTGTGGACAACGGCCGATGAAATTCATGGAGGACGCTGATGGAGTTATCCAGCCCCATCCCGTCGGCAACGACGTGGATGAGTGCAAAACGTTCATCGGACGAGTTTTTGGCCTTGCTTCTGAGGTTGAAATAGCACATCTGAAGGACTAAGGCAGGGTACATATTCGGGTTTAAGAGCCTGTTGTCCATTGTTGATTGCTTGTGTAGTTCGTGACGGACACTCATCGCATGGCCGTTATGTATCGAGCATGGGTTCAGCGTATGTACTGAGTGATTTGACTTGTTTCACAAGGTATCAATTCTCCTATGCAGACTTACCAACATTGTTCCAATCCACGAGTAGCTCCATATGCCAATAGATGTTTGACATCCAAGTTTTCGATGACTTTTTGGAAGACGACCATGCTCGTTACTGCTTGAGAAAGTGGGTAGCTTCGTCTCGATATTTCTTTATTCGCTTATCTACCAATTCTATGGAGAGATCTGGGTGAACCAGCCGAGAATTTGAGGTGCAGAAATACGGACCTGCATCATCTTGTCGTCACTCTTGATACCGTACCCAGCTCCCTGGTTCCCATTCGTGTCACCCTTGCAAGCTCGAAATACTAGCAAGCTACCCCCTGATGATAGACAATTGTCGATGTCCTGGACCTGGCTCCTCTGGAAGGTCGTATGAGAGGTCAGGGTAATGCACACATCCTGGAAAACAAGGAAGCTAGTGGTCCAGGCTGGTAACTGACACTCAGTGGTATCGATTATCGAGCCGCTAGCGAATAGTTTGCGAACATCCTCGGCGTTACCTGCTGAGAGTTTTGCGGCAGTAGAGGTTATAAGACCAGTGCCTTTGCCGAGCACCTGAGCGTTGAACCATGGTCTGTCGGTAGCAACTTTCGTTAGGCTGAGCATAACCTTGACATCGGTGTTTTCAGTAGACAAGGTTCTTCCCTGGTCGACAGCGGCAAAGCTAGTGAGACCAGATTCGCTATAGGACAAGATATTGGTCGACCATGCCAGATTCGCAGACGAAGTACAGCTGAGTCCTGACTGGGTCTGCGTCAATGTTCGGCTGTCAATGGTCAAGGTCTCCCAACCTGGAGTTGATGCATTGCCTTGAAAAGCATCAGAAATCTTCTCAAAGTTCTGACTGCCAGTTTCTCGAAGCATATTTTGATATTTCTCAATTTCGACAGAAAGTGACGCAATCTGATCATTAATGACACCAAGTTCAACGCCCTTATCACGACCGTTGACCTGTGAGACCTCCACCTGAGCCCTATTTAGCATTTTAGAGGCCTCAGCAAGGTCATTCAAGTTTTGAACATGTTTCAGTTGGAGTGCAACCAGAAATCTCCACTGTTCATCGCTCAGTGGTCCTCCCTGGTACTTCTGGAGCAGCGTACAGAGTTCCATCTTGTTCGCATTGTTCAGTCCTTTTACAGCTGCGATACTGTCCTGTGCCATTGAACAAACTTGAGCAAAGTAGAGCTTTATACACTCGGCGACTGTATCAGTAAAGCCCTTGGCCATTTCCGCTTCCGTGGCGTAAACAGCTGCCCTTGCATCGTTCACGGCTTTTTGCAACGACTTGAAGTCGCCCACGGTCATGAGAGTGTCCCTCCTTGCTTCGAGGAACCTATGTTGGCGGATGGTATCTTGCAGTTGACTCTTAATACTAGCAGTATTATCTTGCTGTAAAGGGACCGAGAGACTTTTAGCCCAGTCGTTGGGGACAAGGTTGAGGGGATAAATTTCTTTTGTGTCATCTATGTTGCGGTTTACGCAAGATCTCATGTCCTCTCTCGCCTACTGCAATTCTTCATCGGCGCGGTCGGCCGAAATGAGACCCGAAAGCACCTGGTCGTATTTCTCTGAGAGTTTGCTTCCATTTGGGCCGCCGACAATGTTAGACAGTTTCAACATGCTATCTGTGAGACGGAACTCGGCTTCAGTCACGGGAACTGGCTTAATCATCTGTGCAAAGTTTGAATCGCTTCCATCGTAGTGGAACTCGCCTTTCTGCAAGGGTTGAGTCGGAACCTGCATCTGGAAGAGAGTCTTGTCTCCAGCATCAAACTTGCCACGAAGTGCATCGTAAATATTGATCAATAGAGGGTGGTTCGTGAAGCTCATGGTTTCCGAGAATTATATGCAATGTGTCTCTGTTGTAGAAATTGTCAAGAGAACCTGGCCTTGGGTTTGAAGTCGATTTGTGGAGAGAAGTGGGAGCTGAGGGGTTGTTGAAGCTAACTCCAGTGGCTGAGACATGGACGCGGTCTGGCCAAGGGTGGATTACTTGACGAGACTACTCCCACGCTGGTTTCAACAGCTAGACACAAAGCCGAGAAGAAGAGAGCAATATGACATGAGATTAAAGTTCTCAATAGTTTAGTATAATATTACAAGCGGAATTTCTGTAAGTGCGATGGTTTCCACGATTGTAAAGTAGAAATCACAGCCCCTCGAGCTAGCACGCTGAAATCACCCCAAATAGTTAGTTACCTGTTTCTTGGCTTTAGACCCTTTTAAGCTAGATCAAATTTCCAGGTCCATCAAAAGACCCAAGGATGTTGTGACCAACAAACAGTGTGCACTGGCTATGAATAGACTACCGTAGAAGACGGCTGCTTGTCAAAGCAACGCCATTCAATAGTGACACTATCAGGAGTCAGGATTTGGAGTATAAGAGAGAAAAAACCAACCCCATTGCCATATGATGCATCTGCTAGAATCTTGGTCCCGGTGTGCACAATGCTGTCAGACTGCCGTGATCCGAATGTACCTGCCTCGTGTTCCTCCATATGCATGTTGGTTGTTGTTATCACACGAAACCCTGTTGTTTTGCAGAACCAACAGAAACATGCCCCTGTATCAACTGAAACTCTGCTATGGTGTGATTCCTGCAGATAACAAATTAGATTGCTGTTCAAGCGCGCGTTTGCCCCTGGCTTACCATTCCAAACTTAGCACTCTGACGCAGGATCAATACATAAAGGAGGCTTTTCTGGGCTTCTCGTTTGTGATGAATTGAGAAAACAAAATATTTTATTATCTATATACCTATCAATTAACACTTGACTTTCACAATGGATGTGTCTGTAGACGCCAACATTCTCGAACAGCTCAATACCAATGAGACTAAAGCCCTCCATGATATAAGCGACAGTCTGAGTGCTTGCGGCGTCGGCCGTATCGTCAACCTTCCGCAAATCATCGTCGTTGGGGATCAATCCGCTGGAAAGTCGTCCGTTCTTGAGGCTATTTCTCATGTTCGCTTTCCGGTTCAAGGCAATCTTTGCACGAGGTTTGCAACTGAGCTCATTTTCCGGCGAGCTAATGAGACTCGAATCGATGTGAGTGTCAGATTTGAAGACAGATCCAAACCAGCAAAGAGATTCCAGAGGGCTGGTTTTCGTGAGGATGACTTGGGCGACATCATTGCGGAAGCCAAAGAGTGCATGGGCTTTGGCAAAGCCGGTATGGAGTTCTCCAAGGACGTGCTCCGTCTGGAGATTGAAGGGCCTAAGATGTACCCACTGAGTCTCGTTGACCTTCCAGGATTCTTCCACGTTGCTACCGAAAACCAGTCAAACGATGGTAAAGAAACGGTCGACCAACTTGTGGAGAGCTACATGCGACAGAAGAATAGTATTATTCTTGTGGTTATCACAGCGAATAACAACCTTGCCAATCACTTAGCCCTTGACAAAGCTAAGAACATCGATCCGGAACGACGCCGAACCATTGGTGTCATCACGAAGCCTGATTTGACTCGCCCTGGGTATGATGCTGAGAAGGAATACATCAAGCTGGCCAAGAATCAGGAAGCTGCGCATAAGCTGCAGCTTGGGTGGCATGTCCTTCGAAACAGGGCCGAGGATGAGGACAGCTTGGAAGGTCGAGACAAGGTCGAAGACGCGTTCTTCAAGACGGGTGCTTGGGCAACTATTCCTTCTGAGAATCGTGGCATTGTGAGTTTGCGAAAGAAGCTCAGTCATGTGCTCTATAGTCACATTCGCAACAGTCTGCCTGGAGTCATTACAGACATCGAAACGACGCTTAGAGAACGGCAAGAGGAACTCGATCGTTTGGGAAAGTCTCGATCCACTCAGGAGGACCTTAGGTCTTTTCTGCTTGCCATTGCCAGTGACTTTCAGCGGCTCGCCAGGGATGGAATATACGGCCGATACAATGATGAGTTTTTCGGTGGCTTACAGGACGATCAACGGAAGTTGCGAGCACAGCTGCGGAACTTCAGTCGAGCTTTTGATCATATCCTTCAAACTAAGGGCTCGACCCATATCACCGTCTCAGATGATGAAAGTAATTCGGAGGACGATGAAATTCCCGTGTACCTCGAAGAGTTTCTGGAGCGTTACCCTTACAACCCTCCCCAGCCGAAGAAAATCACGAGAAGCGAGCTCGCTGAACAACTCGAGAAACAAGCCGCTGCCAACCAAGGGCTCGAGTTTCCAGGAACTCCTAACAAGGACCTTGCCATGCAGCTCTTTAAACAACAAGCAGCCCCCTGGAGAGGTATTGCCGAGTCACATGTCAAGCTGGTAACGACGGTTGCAAAGGCTTTTGTTGATCAGGTTTTTGAGCATGTTGTTGGATCCCCACGGACAAACCGAACTACTGAGGCGATCTTGTCAACCTGCGTGGACCCATTCTTTGATGAAAAGGAAAAGGTGCTTCAGGAAAAGATCGACGAACTACTGAGACCTTATATTCAAGGTTACGCACTTCCTCTTGACTTGTTGTTCTATAACATGCTGTCGAAATCGTCGGATCAGAAGCTGGAGAGACGTATCTCTGCTGTTCTGCAAGAGAAGTACCCTCAATTATATGAGAGCAACACAGCAAAGACAGGAGATACGAGTAAGAGAGTTGACTCTAAAGCAATTGCTCAAGACATCAATGAAGAAGATGACCTTGAAGATAGTGAGTTTGGAATCAACAAAGTCATAGACACGATGTTGACGTATTATACGGTAAGATGACACCAGGCCTCACAATCGCTTGATACTAACTTTTGAAGATGTCTCTGCGTACCTTCACCGACAATGTCATCAACTTGGCAGTTGAAAGTTGTCTTGTATATGATATACCAGATATCCTTACACCCACAAAGGTAGATCGAATGAGTAAGGAAAGACTTGAAGAGTTGGCTGGAGAATCGGACGATACATCGTCTCGAAGAAAGAGCCTGCAGGAGGAGGTCGAGATCCTCAGACAGGGTTTGGCCCAATGCCGGCGATATAAGCCAAGAGCAGTAACACGTAAGTCGCACAACTCAGAACCTGAATTGCCATGATACTAACGGACAAGCGTTGCCTTCTGCTGCAAATGAGCCTCAAGGCAATGCCCCGACTACATCTAACAAAGTTCCTTCAGAAAACGGCAAGAAGACGAGCCCCCCAAGCGTTATCAACGCTCCTAAAGCTCAGTTCAATGGCTGGACGGCAATCCCTGACTTGCCCAAGGCTGAGAGTCCTTTCAAATTCTTGAATACTCCGGCGAAACCGGCGAAACCATCGAGCCCAGCGCCATCAGCGACAAAGACTGCCTTAAACTTCGGAAGCGGCTCTGGGCTCTTTGAGTCGGGGCCCGCGCTTTCATACCAGCCGGCCTCTTTTCAGTGGAACGGTTCTGCCGACGCCAAGAAGTAGACAGCTCAGTGACTCTAGTAGAATCCCGCGATTTGTATTTGTAAGCGAAACAGTGCACTAGGAGAATGAGGGCTAGAGTGCGGGTGCATTGGGCGGGATTGAGAGCCTCGGATGAGACTACAGCATTAGGGTCATAGCTTAGTTCAAACGATATCACATTCCTTTGACATTTTTTATCTTGTATCTCTCAATTTGATCGATCTTGGACCTGTCAAAGCTGCTTTTTCCGACGCAGCTCGGCATTTCTCGGCAACAAGGCAAGCCCACATCGCAAGTTCCAGGCCCCATCGACATAGACTGGAAGCAGAACGAATTTCGGCCAACGAATGGGGCGCTGGCGCAACTGGTAGCGCGTCAGATTCCAGTTAATTTCGAGGGTTTCCTTGGAAAGACGCTTGATTCCTGAAGGTTATCCGTTCGAGTCGGGTGTGCCTCATGCTTTTCGTTTTGTTCCATGTTTGTGGAAGCGTTATTGCTTTTGCGATGTTGCTTGTTCCGTAGCCGATGCGCGATTTTCTTCCAACACAAATGTTCATTCATAAACAACCGTCCAGTGATATTTGATACGTAGCAGAATTGCCCATCCATATCTTCATCTTCTATATTCCCTGGTATCTCCGCAATACCCCATTTGACCATAACGGCGATGACGGTGTGATCTTGGTCAGCCCCTCCTTAGCCGCTGCAATCTCATCTTCATCCAACGACTTCCCCTCCAACCGCTCATGCATCGCATTGATGAGGTATAAATCATCCTTGATTTCGGGCCAGTCGATAGAGTTCAGAACGCAGGGCTTCTCTTTTGCTGGGCTAATTTTCCGCTCATACCTATCGCGATAGATATTGTGGTGCGCCATTGCGTCCCACGGATCCCAGCGCCAACGGTTCTGCGGTGTCGCTAGAATAGGAAACGGATTGGCCGAGGCAGTATCATGACTTTCATCTTGGTCAAGAAGAAATTGGATAATTTGTTCGAATTGCTGGTCTGTCGGGGGGTATATCGTTCGTGGTCCCTTGCGACGGCATCCATGGAAGTATATCTGTCGACTCTGCAGTAATATTAATAATATGTCACTTCGAACTGGAATTATGCCCTACCTCGGTGCCATCCTCGCCTCTATCAAACACGACGACACCACCAAATATTCTTGCTTCAGCCCAGTATCCTACAGTATCTGCAGCTCCATTCGGATATTGGTCAACTGCGATATAAGGTCCATGCGCAAAGGCCGTTGGGTCGCGGAATGAATCCCATTTCGTCATATTTCTAGGTAACTCCCTCCAGTTATCGTATATTTTATGTTTCTCGACAACTTCATCCAGCTGGAAGATCTTAACCGCAAACGTATGGCAGCTCACCGCAAGCAGCTCAATAAGTCTTAAATGGAATTCTTTGGACTGGGGTGCTGATTTCCTGAAGGCCTCGACCAACATTGGGGGTGTCAGTCACAATATCATCAGGAATGACTGAAGATTTCTTACAGGAGTTTCAAACAAGTGCGATGACATATCAAGGTTTGATCGAAATCCATGGACTCTTTCCCGCGCGCCTTCCAAAAGTTCCTCATGTCCAAGTGCAGGATGCCCGTCTTGCGGAAACTGGAAAGACAAATACGAGTCACTTAATGGCAAACCGTCAAGAACTTCTGCATATGTCTGCTCGGCTATATCCGTCTCCAGTATACGTTGCAAAGCACGTTGGAATGGACAGAGGTGTTCGACATCTAGGCCTTTCAGGCTGCTACCCTCGCCTTGACTTTCGGACAGCATACCAGTGGCCGGAAAATGACACAAGTGTACAGATCAATTTGAAGAAAAAAGGTAAGATAGCTGCAGATATTAACAAATCGTTCAGGTGACATGCAGGGTGAGATGGTGAAAAGTGACAACCCGATGCAGCTGCTCCACGTGGCCTAACAGTCTAGCGGTTGCACGTGAACATAGCCGATATCCAATAGTGTTCCTCAGATTCATCCAACGATATAACATCAAGGGCCATGGATAGAGGTCGCAACTGGATGTATTGCCGCCGGCGACCTCGACCAAGTTCCATGGAACGTCAAATGCGCCCCCACAATGGGTGTACTTTCATAGAAACAGATAGGACCCTATGGCAACGTAGGTTTGCCCAGAATGCGTTTTGTCATTACTACAACTATTTCTTTGCCTGAAGTCTATTCATGTGCAATCGAGTCCCCTATGAAATCATCCTACAATGTCTTGCAGACTCTCTTTTGGTGAAATGGCGATGCTTTCAAGCCCATTCCTGACTCTCGTCTACTTCTTTTTCTTGGGCTTTGTCTTGTCCACAACATCCACCCACTTCGCATCGATGCCCTTGTTCGCCAAAATATCCTTGGCGAGAATCTTTCTCTGATCGCCTTGAACGACAACTTCCATCAATCCAGGCTTCGCACCAGCAACTTGGCCTACACTTGCAGAACCCGCACACTTCTTCTGCAACTCTGGTGCAAGGACCACAGGATCGATGAAGAAGGGCTCCAGATTGGAAATTTTGGTGACGACCTTCGTACCGGTTCGCTTCTCGATTGTTATCAGGATCCGAGGTGGTAATCCAGATTTTGGCTTCTGGTCGGGTGAGGGAGCGCCGTGTGAGATGATGTGGAAGGGCTGGCAGAGATGGGTATCCTCAACCACTCGCTTTTGGAGAGTACTTCGAGGGATTCTTCCTGCGGCAAGAAAACTGACGTCTTCATCAGACGGTTTGTTCCCTAGGATGTCATTGGCGAGAAATGGGTCGAGCTTGACGCTGGAGTTGCCTTGGCCTCCCAATTCCGGATGTTGGTCGATATACGACTTGATGGCTGCTGAGATCTCCTGAGAGGTGTAGAAGTCTGTCTTGGAGGGGACAAGTGTCGGGACGAGCTTTGAAGATACGCGATATACCATCTGGATGTTGACCTTCTGCCCAGCAGATGAACTCGACCCTGAGGTTTGCCCGGCATCTGACGTTGACACATCTCCACCTGTAGTCTTCGGTGTCGGCAATCGATATGGCCGGAAACCCAATACCTGCCGATCGTCAAAGTCAATGTCCAGAATGACGGTCTCTCCACCGTTTCTGTCCTTTGACTTGACAATCAGTTCTTTATCAAGATGCTTGATGAACTTTTTGGCGTTCTTCCATGACGTCTTCTTGATGTTGTAGTACTTTGGGTTTTGGTATCGGAGGTTGGGCTGAACCATGTTTGCGATGATGAAAGACGGCTGAAGAGGGAACTGTAAGCCGAAATGTGGCGGAGAGCCAGATTCTTTGGCTTTGTGGACTGCGAACAGGAAGGCTTGATGGAAGGTGTCGTCGATTTCTTTGGTCGTCGGCTCGTGCTCCTCCTCGGCCTCATCACCTTCTTGAGCCTCAGCGGCTTGTGAGTCTTGAGCAGCCGGTGCCGACTCTGCTGGCTGAGTCTCTTCCTCCAGCGACAGTTTGTTAACTTGAGTGGCCAACCCTGCTGCTAAGCCGGCCCAACCGTCCAAGCTTGAAGGAGGGTCGATTCCGCCACTGCCAAGTTGCTTCCAGCTCCAGCACTCATCACCAGCCCAGTGAAGGGCCTTGATTGCTGCACCCTTCTGACCTCGCACATCGTCTGGAAGGTTTCGCACATCTATTTGACATATCCCAATCCAGACAGGCACTGTATCATTCTGCATTCCTGCGACAGCCACAACAGCGCCAGTGCTCGCTCGTGAATCCCAGCTGGTGCCTCTAGCTTTCACCAGCCCAGGAACCATCAAGTCGGCGCCATGCTTCAGCTTCTCCTCAACCACAAAATCGGGCGTATGCAGAAGTGGAATGAGGTCAGGGTTGCGCCACAAAGTGTACACTGTTGGTATCAGGCGGGGATTCTTTCCAGTCTGAAACCAGAGGACTCTCTCATCTTGGTCTGGATGTGCACCTATGTACACGGTTCCTTGCTCAGTTGGTGTGATGAAACGAGCTGACGAAGTCGACTCTGGTAGAAGTGAGTTACGCAGTGCCGTTTGTGATTGTGTCCCTGCTGAGGCATCGTCGCCGGACTCTGGGATAGAGACTTGATAGTCGCGGATGATTTGATCGGCGAGCTTTCTTCGATCTGACGAGCGCAAAGGCGCGAGGTTTCTGATGTCGGGTTTGCGCTTGAACATGATGACGAGATGTGGCTCGGTCTCGGAAAGTGTTGATTATTGGAGTAAGTTCGTGGTGAAACCTCGTTTGAGGTGAGGTAAGGTTGTTGAGTATTTTAGTAGAGCGGGGCGGGGCAGATGATAAAATCGCTGAGTAATCATGAGCTTTCGTCATAACCAATCACCCCGCCACCAAACCAAATGTGAATGAAGCCCTCATGAGTCACCGACTGAAGTTATTCACTGCGACTCATGTTACACAGCTTTAGGCAGCCTCCACTGTTGCCAACCATTGACTTTTGCGGACCTTGGAATGAGATTCCGTGTTTTTAGTGTGCCGTTTTACCTACGGTAATTGGGTTTGGCATTGAATGTTTACTCTTCATGGCTAGTTATTGTCTGTTCTGACTACTCCCCTTATCTCAATCGAGAAAATGCTGCTTCAAGACATATTCCACTATCAATAATGGAATCTTTCCGCTGTTTATAGAGAGAAGGTTTTTTGCTGGCTTTGAGTGGCCGCTTCCCCAGCGCTACGTGTTCATATTCGGACTCCCTGGCCAGCTCCTCCAGGCAACAATTTGAGAACTCATATAAGCCTCTTCCGTCGTGAGTCATGTTGTGACACACTCAAACCACTCAGTTGCTACAATCATGGAAAACCTAATCACATACGCCCGCGAATTCCTCGCCTCGATTGGCCTCGTGAGACCGTCCTCAGGCACGCCAATCACAAGCTTATTCAGTACCCTTCCAGGCCACCACCGTATCCTCCTTAGCGGACTTGACGAGGCTGGCAAATCAACTCTCTTGCGCTCTCATTTGATAACCAATGAAGAAGATATATCTATCGTCGTGGGCATGATTGCCCATCAGGTTGAAGTCTATAGATGCGGCAATGTCACATTCCAAACCATTGATCTCGGTGGTGGCAGGCCTGAGCCATATTTCAGAATGGAGAGGTCGTTCATCAGGCACTGCGATGCACTTGTATGGGTCGACGACTCGGCTGATCACGACCGCCTTATAGAAGCAAGAGAAGAACTTTTCCGAGCTGTGCGCCACCAAGACGGATTGCGCAACGACATCCCTGTGTTGATTCTGGCAAATAAGCAAGATGAGAGTGTATGTGGCTTGACCTTCAAACAGAACCTTATGCTGAAATATTCCATAGAACGCTCGTACAGCAGAGCAGATAAAGGGATTCTATGTCGATGATTCTTCATCGCCTTTAGTTAATACGCCACATGTGAGTGGCTCAGAGTACTGGTGCGGCATGAGCTAACAATGCTACAGGCGGTGTTTGCATCGAGCACTAAGACTGGCAAAGGGCTGTTCGAGGCTTTTGAATGGCTGAGTCACACTGTTGAGAGCAGGATGAAATATGACACTGGCATCAGTGAAAAGGTTCCGTCATACGGCAAAGAGGAGGAAGCGACTAGAATCATCATGGAAGGACTACAGTCAAGTCACAAGGAGGGGATCAGCGAGAAAGGAGGGCAGCAGGCTCATTAACTTTTGCTTTCATCATGTTACTTCTCCAATCTCGAAAAAGGGCAATGTAGGTGATGGTTCTATACTTCTATAGTTTAACGCGATATTCTACAGTCCGGTCTTCTTCAGGTCTATAACGCTCAGGCTAACTTGGTTGGTGCTGCTAGGGGGCAACCACCCGCCTCCAATGATAGCCAAGAAGTTATCGTTCTCCTTGAATATCATAAGTCCGCGAGTATAGGCATTAGGCTGAGGAGTAGCAAATTCGACCCAAGAGTTCTCAGCACCGAGGTTCTTGTTGACAAAGATCTGAGACTGGCTTCCAGCACTGACGATGATACTTCCGTTGGCTCCTCCAACCGAACTCCAGACAACGGTAGGAGAGCTGACGGGGCGGGTGCCCTTGTTGCTAACCAGAGCATACTCCTTGGCCGCGAGGATGTTGAGAGGGTTGGAGGTGAGACGGTAGAAAATTCTGCAGCCTTGCGTACCGCAGGTCTCGTAAACAAAGATGTACTGGCCGTTGGGAAGGAGAGTGATTCCTGGCATACCGGGACGGGCGTTGTAGTTGCTATCAGCGACGTCGTTGACGAGGGAAGACCAGCTGACGAGATCAGTGGTGGTTTGGTGAGAGAGCTTCTGGCCGTGCTTGGGATCACGCTGGTCAGCGTAGTAGCAAACGAGCTTGTCCTGATAGACCCTGGTTCTAAGTTGGCACAGATTCTTTGAGGAGTAGAGGAAGGGGTCTTACATCATGTGAGGCTCCCAGACTGGTGTGAGGCCGTTATTGGGACGAGCTTCGCCGCCCGAAGCAATGCTGCTAGCAAACTTCCAGCTCTTTCCACCATCAGTGCTAGCATATACATCAATCTTGGTCTTGCTCAGATCAGTAGGAATGCTGTTTCCTGTGCAAAGGATAGTTCCCTTAGGATACTTTCCAATTGCTCTTGGAAGCTCATAAAGGTCTGGCTGGTATCTCAATCCCCAATTGTTAACTGTATCCTGGACCTTTCCGATCTGAGTCCACTTGATACCACCATCTGTAGAACGGTAGATGGGGAAGTAAACCAGCGGGGGCTCCGGGGAGTAGTTCTCCCAGGTTGCAAGCAGAGAGCCGTCCGAGAGTTGGATGGACCGGGCATAGAGAACGCGAG